AACCCATGAAAAATCCCACGGCTGTGCCCACAAAATCCCTTTTTGGGGGTTTCTCCTCTCTCCCACGGGGGTTTTGGGGATGCTCCATTCCCAGGCCAGGCTCATCCCTGTTCCCACCCAGAGAACCCCAACCCTTCCCCAAACAGCTCCGGCTGCCCCCGCTCCTTCTCCCGGGGCAGCGAGAGCCATCCCGGGCGGACACCGCCCTTCACTTTCGCCTCTCCAGGTGACTCACGCTCGCTTTAAGCTTTGATGTGGGCAGGAACAAAGCGAGGAGGAGACGGTCCCACCTCTGCCCTGCTTTGGAACGAGCCCCGCCGGTGCTGAGCTGGCATCAGCCCCGGGAACCCGGAGCTGTCACCCAGGGAATGCCACACTCACATGTCACAGCTTCGGGAGCGCCGCAGAGCTCGGCCCGGGGGCCTTTCGTCAGCACTTTGGGGGATTTGTCATCTTCCAGGGGTTTTTCCTTCTTCGGCACGGCGGGGCGGGCGGGAAGCCGGGGTTCTGCCACCGGTGGTGCCACCACCGGGATCGGCCTGGGCGGAGGGCGCGAAGGCTCGGCCGGCTCTGCAAGAGAAACGGGGTCAGAGCCGAGCGCCCCGAGGTCACCGGGACACACAGCACGGCGGACACTGCCCATGGCACCGCTCGGGGCTGATTTCCGAACCAAATCCCCGCTGCGAACGGGAGCGGGGCATAGCTGGAGCCCCGAGCGGGGTTTGGGGCTGCTCGGGACGGGCACCGGGGCTGCACCGCTCCGCAGCTGCTGGCCCCGCTGCAGCGCCAGCGGCTCGGCAGCGCCATCCCAAAAACCCCTCCCGAGGTCCCACATTCCTGCTCCAAAAAGCCAAGGGATCTGGTTACACTCAGCAGCTCAAGCTGGATTTTTCATCCCCCTTCCCATGAAAGGGCCACTGTTTTCCCGGCGGGAGCTGGCTGCCACCTCCCCTCATCCTCCTGCACTCCGGAGCAGCAGAAACCCCTGCAGGACCCTTCCGTGGGGCGAGAAACACCCGAAGGGAGCTGAGTTATCCCCCATGGAAGAAATCCTGGTGCCAAACACCCCTCGCAGAAAGCCGGGAGAAGGCAGAGGCAGCGCTGCCCCATTCCAGGGGGAATGTGGGGTGCCCAGGGGGAATGTGGGGTGCCCAGCGGGAATGTGGGGTGTCTGGGGGGGCTCCACCCTCCCCGAGCCCCCTCCCCGCCGCCCCATCCCTCTCCCCATCCCCCGGAATAGCAGCGTCTTGCACAACAGGGGCCGGACCGCACTTTTTATAAAACTAAATTACAGGCTGGGCAGGGGAGGAGGGAGAGCGGAGAGCTGTAATTGCCCTGCCTGTTACAGGAGGGGAGGGGAAGGGAGGGGAGGGCAGAGAGGGACCCAAAACACTTCATTTTCCTCCGTAAAACAAGGATCCTACACACCGGGGCCGAGGAGGAAGGTGGGCAATTACTGATAATTAAAAGGAGCATAATGAGGGAAGTGTGGGGTCCCAGCTGCACCCCGGGATCAGCCAGAGCCTGGAAATGCTGCAGAGGGAGCGCTGCTGCTCCATTCCCAGCTCCAAATCCGCCCAAACTCAGCCACGTGCCTCAGTTTCCCCAGCAGACCACCCTCTCCACCCTCCCCAGGGTGCTGACCCCTCCTGGGTGCCGGAGCTTCGGTGCCGGGAGGGTTTTGTGAGAAGGAAAATCCACCCCAGCACCGGGTGAGGAGATTTTGARGCTCAACCCAGGGAGATGCAGCAGCTCCAGCTGGATTGCACTCAAATGAAATCCCAATGAAGAGTGAGCAAGTGAGCTCCAGATGGGAGAAARGCAATTCCCATCCCTCCCGAAACCCGGAGCTCCACGGAGAGGCGAGGAGAGCCGGCTGTCATCTCCCCGCGGCTGTGCAGGCGTGGGGTGGGGGTGAATAATSTCCACACCCTCTGCTGCATCCCCGGCCTCTGTCAGGTCCCAGCCCTGATCCCAAGGCAGATGTGAAATCCTGATGTTCAGGAACTCTTGAGTGAAGCCAGAGGTGCCCAGGGCAGGGAGCAGAGGGTGAAACTCCCAGAAGGAATTGGAGCCCTGGGCACCAGCAGAGCTGGGGAGCTGCTCTGCTTTGTGCTGTGAGGTGTCTGGAGGGTGTTCAGGGCTTAAAAAACCCCAAAACTGCTCAGAATGGCCCCATCGCCACAGATCCCCTTTGTGCAGGGCAGTTTCAGGGCTTAAAAACCCCAAAACTGCCCAGAATGGCCCCATCACCACAGATCCCCTTTCTGCAGGGCAGTTTCAGGGCTTAAAACCCTCCAAAACTGCCCAGAACGGCCTCATCATCACAGATCCCCCTCCTTGCAGGGCAATTTCTGGGTTTAAAAACCCCCCAAACTGCCCCATCACCACAGATTCCTTTCCTGCAGGGCAGTTTCAGGTCTTAAAAACCCCAGGTCTGCCCCATCACCACCGATTCCTTTCCTGCAGGGCAGTTTCAGGTCTTAAAAGCCGCCAAACTGCCCAAAACTGCCCCATCATCCCCCTGCAGGAAAGTTTTAGGGCTTAAAAGCCCCAGGACAGCTCCATCACCACAAATCACCTCTTTGCAGGGCAGTTTCAGGGCTTAAAAAACCCCAGAACAGCCCCATCACCACAGATCCTCTTCCTGCAGGGCAGTTTCAGAATTTAAAAACCGCAAAACTGCCTCTTCATCACAGATCCCCCTTCCTGAAGGGCAGCGATTTGGGAAAAAAAGCTGGAAAATCGGATGCAGCAGCAGGAGAAAGGCTGGCACAGGGAGAACTCTTGCTCCTGCCACCCCGCACCACTTCCAGCTCATCCCTGGCCACCTCCGTGCCYGTTCCTGGGGACAAGGACATTCTGGGATGGATCCGCAGGGATATTCGGGGTGGGGGATGGTTTGCACCGTGCCCCGGTAATTACCCCGAACAAGGGCTCGCACACAACCGCAGCCCGGCAGGGAGGAAGGTGGCGATTAAATCAACTCCCCCGGGAACGAGCTGGCCGGGAGAGGGACAAAAATAGGCAGGAATGAAGCTTGGGTGAGATGGAGCTGCCCTGCCTCGAGCGGCCTCATATCCCTGCTGCTGTAGGGTCACCGGGGATGTGGGGAGGGTGTTGAACCCAGAATTACCCGGGAATGGGATGGAAAAAGGGCTGGACCCGCCCTTGTGGTGCTGAACACCCGGATTTACCCGGGAATGGGATGGGAAAGGACTGAGCCTACCATTGTGGTCCTAAATCCTGGATTTCCCCAGGAATAGGATGGGAAAGGGGCTCAGCCTGTACTCGTGGTGCTAAATCCTGGATTTTCCCGGGAATGGGATGGGAAAAGGGCTGTGCCTGCCCTCGTGGTGCTAAATCCCGCATTTCCCCCAGGAATGCGATGGAAAGGGGCTGTGCCTGCCCTTGTGGTCCTAAATCCTGGATTTTCCCCAGGAATAGGATGGGAAAGGGGCTCAGCCTGCAATTGTGGTCCTAAATCCCGGATTTCTCCGGGGGAATGGGATGGAAAGAAGCCGTGCCCTGGTGGTGCTAAATCTCCCATTCTCCAGAGAATGGGATAGAAAAGGGGCTCAGCCTGTACTCGTGCTCCTAAATCCCAGATTTTCCCGGGAATGGGATGGGAAAGGGGCTGTGCCTGCCCTCGTGGTGCTAAATCCTGGATTTTCCCCAGGAACAGGATGGGAAAGGGGCTCAGCACGTACTCGTGCTCCTAAATCCCAGATTTTCCCAGGAATGGGATAGGAAAGGGGCTGTGCCTGCCTTCGTGGTGCTGAACCCCGGATTTCCCCCAGGAATGCGATGGAAAGGGGCTGTGCCTGCTGCAGGACCACCGGGGATGTGGGGAGGGTGCTGAGCCCCAGATTTCCCGGGAATGGGATGGAAAGGGGCCGTGCCTGCCCTCATGGTGCTAAATCCCGAATTTACCCAGGAATGGCATGGAAAAGGGGCTGTGCCTGCAATTGTGGTCCTAAATCCCGGATTTCTCCGGGGGAATGGGATGGAAAGAAGCCGTGCCCTGGTGGTGCTAAATCTCCCATTCCCCAGAGAATGAGATGGGAAAGGGGCTCAGCCTGTACTCGTGCTCCTAAATCCCAGATTTTCCCGGGAATGGGATAGAAAAGGGGCTCAGCCTGTACTCGTGGTGCTAAATCCTGAATTTACCTGGGAATGGGATGGAAAGGGGCTGTGTCTGCCATTGAGGTGCTGAACCCCGAATTTACCTGGGAATGGGATGGAAAGGGGCTGTGCCTGCCCTCGTGGTGCTAAATCTCGGATTTCCCCCCAGGAAAGGGGCTGACCCTGCCCCCGTGGTCACAGCCCGAGCCCAGGGAAGGGCAGGGAGGAGCTGCCCAAGTGTGGGCTCGGCTCAGACCCCGCAGGTTCCTACCCTACAGCTCCTGGACCCTTCTGATCCGCGGGGAATGCCGAGGAGATCAATGGGGAAACAGAGGAAATGTTCAGGAAAATGCAGAGGGAATGTTCAGGAAAATGC